CAAAAGAAACAGCTAACCATTCTCTTTACTAAGTAGGTAGGTACTAACAACTTAGTACATACTTGTGTCTTACTATCTTACAAAATCTGTGTGAAAAAATACAAGTATATTGAAATACATATTTCTTTTATTCCAAACTTACCATAATTACTTAACGGAAGCTGTGCATCTATGGGGCACTGCACAACTTCTCAAACCTTGAAACAAAATCATCTACGGTTCTTGTTCCGCATTTTCACTTGATACTTGCTTTTTGTCACAGCAACTGCCTAAAATCCAGCCTTAAACATGGCACCTTCAAAAACCGTGCACTCCAATGTTGAAACTGAACCATTTTGAGTAGTTTGCACAGTATCTGACAGATGTCAGTGTTTCCCTCAAAAATTTAAAATATCCTGGGGTGCCTCAGGGGCCAGGCAAATCTTAAGAATATCTTTTTCCCTCTCTTCTTTCCTCTCTCTCTCTCTTTTCCTCCCCTCCTCTCCCTCCCTCTTTCCCTTCCTTTGCTTTCTTCTATGTTTGTTTTATAATGATAAAACCTCTTAAAGCTTCATTTCTAACTCCAACCCTTTCTTTATGACTAAAAATTTCAACCTGGCTTGAAGTCGGCAGAAAAGCATGTTTTGACTGAAAGACATATGGGAATCTGATGTTGAGACACATTTTCCCAGACACAGAGCAAAGTTTTCACCAAAGAATATTTTACATGATCCTAATGGCTACCTTACACTTGATGAACCAAGGAAGATGGAATGAAAGAGGGAGAGGGAGTGGAAGGAAGGGAAAAGAAACTTGATCAATAAATCTTCTTTATGTAAACGCGTGACGGTGAGAGGTGGGGTCTCTGGGAGCTGAATGGGTCCCGAGGGTGGAGTCCTCACAAACGGGAGACTTGGAGATCTCTCTCACCCCTTCTGTGGGAGGTGCACAAGCAGACGATGAAGCAGGAAGTGTGCCCTCACGAAACACTAAATCTCCCCAGGGCCCTGATCTTGGACTTCCTCGTCTACGCAATCAGGAGAAATCGATTTCTGCTGGTGAAAAGCCACGCAGTCTACGGTGGTGTTAACGGCAGCCTGAATGAACCGAGACGGATCCCTTCAGAGTTTCCTTTTCGGCAGGAGGGATGACATTAAAAAACCCAAAAAAGACTTTGGTCCTAAAAGCAAACATGAAAAGAAAACAGGCACAACAGGAGCTCTGCTTACAAACCGCAAGTCGACTGTCCTATCGTGGCTGACTTTTTTTTGAAGTTTCTTTCTTTCTTTGGAGAGAGAGAGAACGAACAGGGGAGGGGCACAGAGAGAGGCAGAGAGACTCCCAAGCAGGCCGCACACCGTCAGCGCGGAGTCGGACGGAGGCTCGAACTCAAGAAGCGTGAGCCTTAGTTGGCCACCCAGAGGTCCCGTGGCTGACTTTTTGTTTGAATCGGGACAGTCTATGTTATGCTATGCTGACAACTCCCAGTCTCAGTGGCTTAAGCCAACAAAAGTTCCTTTCTTGTTCTACACCTGTCTAGCACGTCTACACCTGCTCCTTGCACTCCCTCGGGGACCTCATCGTGACACGTGTGCCTGTAATCACCCTCGTGGCGGGAAGAGTGCATGGCCACTCAACACGTCCGCCTCAAAGACACAACCCTTCCGCTCCCACTGCCTTGGCCACGGCCAACGCCAGTCACGAGGCCAGGCTGAACTCCAGGCCGATGGGAGACGCACGGCAGCCGTATGGGCCGGGAGGAGAGGACGTGGAAAGGTGAGAGCTTTCCTGCC